ATGATGTATAATGATAACAATGTATCTATGTAAACTTGGACAATCTGTGACTTTATATATAATTGAAAGTGGTGATGCACAAATGCTTGTAACCAAACACATGCTATATGTATATGTAATTGATGATGGTTTTATGTTTCATGTTTTGTTTGTCTTAAAATAAAAAACTTAAAAAAATATTTTTGAGGCACAGGAAGTGGTGAGCGTGGTCACCTCATGGCTGCTGCTGTGTTGCAACATTTCCCGAGGGGGCTTATTTTTGGGGAAACAGGATAAAGGTTAATATTATAAGCAATTAGACAGTATACGTGGATGGAGTCACTACTGGAGAATAAAGATGACAACACTCTCCAGAAGAGCTCTATCTTAAACAATCGACATTTCGTTATAATCTAACTATCGGAGTCGAATAATCTGACCTGACCAGCAAGTAAGTAAGAGGTAGGGTCAATAAATCCCGGGACACGACCTCAGAGCCGTGCCCTAGAGGGGCCTCCACGTACCTTGAGGCGATTGTTTCCAAGATATTCTCCATCCATCTTTTTGATGGCTTTGCAGACACTGGCAATATCGGAAAACTGCAGGAAGGCATACTGAGGAATCCCGTTCACTCTCTTCATGTCGATATCCTGGTGGGGGAAGGAAAGCATTAAGGGAGGGGTCGGCAACCTTAAACACTCAAAGAGCCACAAAGGTGCTAACTGGAATCCCCCACCCCATTCAATTCTGGAGTCAACCGGAAGTCCAGTTCCCCCACCATAGAGTCTCCTCCTAGCACGGTGTCCTTTTCCCTCTACCTGTCGTAACCAAAAGCCCTATCAATTGTAGAGCCAAATAGAAAACCTGTCCCTTGCCATAGAGTCTCCTCCTGGTGCACCATGCTTTCTCCCCAACTGGAAGCTACTCTCAAAATTGTGGTGCTGACCGGTGACAGGAAGCCGCAGCAGAGGGATGAAAGAGCCATGTGCGGCTCCAGAGCCACCGATTGCCGACCCCTGGTCTAGACCGGCAGCATCATGGGAGCAGCTGGATCAGGCAGGACGCTCCCTAAAGAGGAACAGACACCCCCACGACAACTGACACACACCAGATTGAACTGCCCTATCAATGAACACTCCCTTTCTTTTCTATGCCTGAATGCCAAGATCAGCTTCCTTCCAATGTCTAACACTGGTAGAAGCATTGAAGGCAGTGCCGAAGGGAGGCTCATAGCACCCTGCACCAACAACTGGAGGCTCTTTGCCCCTGTGCCCAACAGCCCAGCCAGCTCTCATTATTGAAAGTGAAAATGTAGCCATTCCATCCAGTTTGCACTTGTTCTTCCTTGAGCTGGAAACAAGAGAGGAAAAGGACCAGCACACAGTGGAGAAGATGGGACCAAAACTCCAGAGGCTACTTTTCCCCTAAAAGTTCACAGAGTTTTTACAATGTTGTATCATCACAACATCTGCCAAGATTCGGTTGGCACTTTCCCCTCACTACAATTCCTCTTCCTCTCAAGTGCCGTCCGAAGACGTCTCTGTGGTCATGTGGCCAGCATGACTCAACGCTGAAGGCGCGGAACGCTGTTATCTTCCCACCAAAGGTGGCCCCTATTTTTTCTACTTTAATTTTTTATGTGCTTTCAAATTTCTAGGTTGGCAGAAGCTGGGAGAAGTCACGGGAGCTCACTCTGTTATGTGGCGCTGGGGGTTCAAACTACTGAACTGCCGACCTTTCTGATCGAGAAGCTCAGTGTCTTAGCCACCTGATGATTTCTGTATTAAAGGACAATAAAATCTAGCCCCGGATTAGGGTCTTTTTGAACATGTTTTGACACAGAAAGAGAGCTAAACTGCTTGTACATACTACTATTCCTCCAAAACGCTGGAAAATGTTACAAAGCTCATCACATGTGGTGGTTTTTTCAAGGTTGCCAATGAAGAGAGTTCTAGTCGCTTTAGGATGAAACTCGTCGATCCTTTCATCCGGTGGCCGGAATTCATTCTCGCTTTCGGTTTCTGAGGGCAAAAAAGAAACAAAAAAATAGCATCTTCCAAAACATTTTTGCTTCTACGAATCTTCTAGCGGTTATTTGGCTCAGTGACCCCCCCCTCCCACTCCAAAGGTTTTTGCACTAGGGGATGCCAGAAGGTAAGAGTGGCCTGGAAATCCCTGAGACAATGAAAATGTAAAATAAAATTCGTAGCCAAAAATAAAATAAAATCCAGCAAACTAACCTGGAAATATAGCCGAGTGAACCACTTCAGAAATTACTTGGCCGCCATTTTTGATTTTCTAATTATAGAAGGCCAACACACAAATAAAAGCAGCTAAGGCTGCACTGTGCTAAATAAAATGAAAGGGGGACAAGTAATAGGGCCGTGATGGTGAACCTATGGCATGTGTGTCCAAAGTGGCATGCAGAGCCATTTTCTGCAGGGGCATTTTCAGGATGATTGGGGAAGATTTTGGGCCAAACACGACCTGAAAAACAGCCCCAAAAGTGGCCTGTTTTTTTGGGCCGTTTTCAGGCCATTTTCTGGTGCTCTGGCGCCCGCGAAGACCACCTGGCAGTGCCAGAAACCAGAAGAGCAGTTGGCCATGGTGCACGTGCCCATAGAGAGGGGTCTGCGTGCCACTTCTGGCACACGTGCCATAGGTTATCCATCACGGGTTTAGACAATTCCTAAGCTGGCTTTGAAATGGCCTCGAATCTTCTCCATTCCACCCAAGACGTTCTGATCTGCTACATCTTTGGGGCCCGAGAAGGCCATGGGTAGGTAGTTCCCCAGGAGTCGAGGAGGGCTTCCGAGGGGGCTCACCTGGCCCTATCCAAGCCGTCATTTCAATCTGCATGCCGAAAAACAGCTTCCCTTTGGAGGCGTTCAGGGCCTTCTCCTGGTCCTCCTGCTGCCGGAAGAACACCAGTCCGTATCGCT